ATTTTACATAGCCAAAAGTAGTTCTAAACATACTTGGCCTCAGAACGACTGTTTCCGTATATGTGATATACAGAAATATAGCGAAGAACAAGAGCTTTCGAATGTTATATAATAGTCGTGAGGAATTGTGAAACTGAGAGAGAAATGTCCAAAAATACGATCTATAATATGTATCAGAAGCAGTAGAAACTTAATCAAATTTGATTCGACCAATTTTTTTCCGAGAATAGTTCTAAGGTCTATAGATATATTTCTAGGTACTTACTATAGTAAGTACCTAGAAATATTCTCCTCTTCATTCTGCATCTAGGCTTTGATTAGTTGATGAAATTCAGATACTCGTCTCCGCCCTTTGTCTAGCAAACAAAGCTTTTTCATTTACTTTTTCCTGCTCTTGTACGCGAACTGTTTTTCTCAGTTTTGCACTGTCTACTAAATTCCATCGTACGTTATACATTTTCTAAATAGACAGAGATTCTGGCAACTCTCTTAATTTTAGTTTACACATTTTAATTTTAATAACTGATCATACAGTTTATTGCAGGTTCTTGTGCAACAGATATGTATGCAAGACGAAATTTGACTATAGAATCATAGTCACTTTTCTCTATGAATTATTTGCTTCCCGTTTACGTTCAATGTCAGTTCTTCAGAAACTGTAAGTTATAATCATAAATTAACTTCACTCCGCATAAGAATTCACTCCTATTGTTTAATGATAAGTCATCGTGTGTGACTTTTGTCAAGTATTGCACATCGATATTTATATAAGAGCAAAAGAAACAAGCAGCATCTAGTGTTGAACAACATACTTAGTACTTTTTCTTTTCTGTTTTCAACACTAGTTATTTTAGGCAAAATAAAAACTAGAAACATGTATAATTTTCTTTTTTTATTTAATAGTTTTTTGTTATTTTAGGAAACATCATCAGATGTTTGCTAACTTTTTAAAGGTTATACATAACTAGAACAGATACAATTTTTGTGGTCTAAAATTAATTTAATATTTTTTTTTTATAAACCTTCAAAATTGAAAAATAAAATCACGAGTAAATATAATGTACGTTTGTATGTTGAGTCACTAATTCAAAAATAAATTTATAAATATTCTTAGTTTATCTCGGAAACAGAAACTTCAGATGAGGAATTTTCAGCACGGGAAAGATCAACGCAAGTATTGATATTTCACAATTTGGGAACAAAAATACGAAATTGACATTCTTGAAAAACGGCAAGAGAAATACAGAGCAAACGGTTGTTTATAAGCACCCGGTTGCGGCAAAAAAATTCTTTGTACACCCTAAATTTTTTTCTTTTAATCATAACTCGGTAAGAGAAAAGGCTTTTGACAAGCGGTTTGCGCCAAAATATTCTCCACTCTCTCTAGTATATTTGAACTTTTCGGGTTGGTAAAAAGTTTTCGTACAGTTGATAAAAATCCTTACGTTATATCAGTACAGAAAATATATGAAAACTTCGTTTATCTGTCTAGTTTTTGTATTCGACATATAGTACAAAAAAGAAAAATCTCTCCATTATAGAGATAATGATAAAATAATATGTGTATTTCTGATAAATATTTTCTATATAGAATTTACGTTATGGATTTATGAACAGAAGAGGTTCTCATCATAACTATTAAAAATAGCTTTAAAATTTATATTTTTTATCAAAATGAGACAAAAAAAAGTTTTTAAATTTTAGTTTTTAACCATCAAACATTCAAACGATATTCTATAAATATTAATATAAAAATAAAATTTATTAAACTATGTTTATACTTCATATATATATATTACAATCAATGTCTATCATATTCTCTATTTTTCTTTTATCGAAGTATTATAATAATTGTTTTATATGAAAATGGTGACTCTTATTGTCATTTTTTTTTTATAGCACGCTAAACTATTGAATAAATATATACGATTAGTCAAATTGTTAATATGATACACACGATAATAAAGAGAAGAAAAAGAAGAAGAAAAATATGATGATTATTGTTCATATTTAATAATGATATCATTTTATATCATTTAGTAAAAAAAAGAAAAAAGGTTCTTTTCTAGAATATATTTGGTACATATAATAAAAACTTTTCTAAAAATCCTTAACGGTACTCTTGTTTCATTCTTGCTGAGATCTGAAACATGAACACGATTTTTTAACCCGTGTAACGAAAAAGTGTTGATCTTGGCAAGATAACATGGCGATCTTATAGTTGTAATCGCGATCTTGTTATACAAGATCACTTCGATCTTTGTCCTAAAATATAATAGGATCCTGGTGAGATCATAAAAAGATCGTAATAAATTCGCTAAGAGATCTTGTCGAAAATACAGATGGCAGATACTTTTCTCTTTTTATATTTTCTATACGCTTTCTCCAATAAAATTCGAAAATTTTGATTTTATTCTTTTATTGAGAGAATTCATGTATATCAAGATGTATCGTCTATATTTATTTAACTGAATTATATATAGACTAGAAATGTTTGTGTATCAAGTGTATATTTTTGTTATTAAAAAAAACGAAAAGAAGAATGCATGTTGTCTACATAGTCATTTCTATTTTTAACGTACTGTGAAGATAAAAACCATTCTTACTCTCACTTTTTACATAATTTAATCTACGTTTTTTTACTGAACTATCGTTAGAATAGTATGAAAGTTAAATACTTTAAATATTCATTACTTCAGAGTAAGTACACAACAATTTGAGAGGAAGGACGAGGAAAAATCAAATTCTATTTTGATTTGTCATATTGCCGGACTTTGCTCCTAAAATAAAAGTGACATTAAGACCACTGTCTTTTTGATTCTCGTGTGAGTTTTACTGATAAGATAACTTTTATTGTATGTAAAAGAAAATATTCATACTTGAACTATCAGAGACGCTAATATCAGTTCGTTGCTAGAGCCAATCTAGCATCCTATGAATGAGGCGATATAGCTTGCCACCCAATCCTTCGGGCGTCCAACAGGATCAAACTGACTTTCACTACATCCTGAAAACCATCAACGGTAAAATGATCTTACGTCGAGGAACTCATACAGACGCATTTGCTTTGTGCTCACTTTAAACTATCCTGAGTTAGAAATGACTTTTCCTTGATTGTTTGCCTTTGTAGGTAAAGAATATGTACAGTGAAAGCCCCAGTGAATTATAAATAAAAACTCAAAAAACTGATTACATCATATTCTGGAAGAAAAAAACGTGAGGAAAACGTGATGAAACCAACAGAATACAATTATCTTAAGAAGACAGCTGAAACTGATATATATCGCATAAAAGTTTCCTTAATCCAAATGCAGCTTAATTTCTGATAGTATCGGAATCTTGGCATAAGCACGGCGCGATGCTGTGTTAAGATGCCTTCACTTGGAAATTTCGTTTCAATCTTATCTTGATCCTTGTGTGATCTCAGCACGATATTGTCAAGAAATTTTGGTGTTAAGATAGTGAATTTTTTGTTACATAGGAAAAATCAATCAAGATTAAGAGTGATCGCAGTAAGATGTAACTTTATTCTGGATGTGAAATGAAGTGAAAGTACTACTAAGAATTTGATCTGAACCTCTCTTTCCTATTTTATCAATAATTGTATTCCTTGTGCTATAAATTATTTTATATAATTGAAACAAAAGATAAATATAGAAGAATATTTTTGAACTCAAAGAACACTGTTCTAATAATATCAAATATAGTCTGCTCGACTATTTTAGTCAAATGTTTTAATTTCATATTGAAGAATGCTAACAGATAACTTTGAAGTATAAAATATTTCTTTTTTCATTTTTTTTGTACATGAAATTTCTGTTGTTTTTATTCTTCTTCTTCTTTTAACAAGACTAATATAAACTAAATTGATCGAAAAACTGCGTTTGTGTCTAAATGTAAGAAATTCCTGTTTTTTTTTATGATAGATTAAGTTTTTCTTTTCTCTAATAGGTTTTTTTTTCTTGATCAAATCACGTATAAATTTTTATTTCGTCTATTTATTATTCAATCGATATCTACAAAAATCTGATAATTGTGAACAAAAATGAGAGGATGAATTGTAATTTGATCATATTAAACTATTTAACTTCTAGTTAATAAGATCATACTATTACGTACACAGTTTTATGATGACTTCTTTAAAATGATATTTTTATCTATGCTTTAATGTGTTTAATTTAATATCCGTCGTTGGATGATGTTTGCATTGGCAAAAAAAAAACCTATTAATAATTTTAATTTATGTTTTTTACTAAAAATATATCGCGAGCTCTATCCATCTAAAAAGAAAATAAACAGAGGAAACAGTAGAAATATAATTAAAATTAAAAGAGATCAACGTGATCTACATCAATCAAATTTAATGGATAAAAATTAACAATATAAAAAAAAAAATGTTGAATTCATGCAAAGAGGTCACAGAATTTATAAAAATATTTGAATAAAGAAACAAAAATAACGTTACTCTATGCTTCTATTATTAATTTCTTATTAACTCTTTGATTATAAACTCGCGATCTTTTTTTGTTTTTATTTAAATTAATAAAATAATTCTAATTACTCTCTTTCTTTCATAATACAACGTATATATTTTATATAGATTTGATGTAGACTGTACATGACTTGTACATAAGAGAAGAAAAAAAGTATATGCAAGTAATCTATTATCAATTATACAATATCATTTCGAATCATGTTTAAATATCATTTGACATTTTTATTATGGAAAAAATAAATAAATTCAATTGAAATAGATAAAAAAATTTAATATTGTTTTGTTATTTGACTAGAAGTAGAAGAAAGAAAAAAATATGATTTATTTGTTATTTGATTTTTTTTTCTTCACTACTAAAATACTTTTTATGGTATAATGAATCAAATATTATATTTTTAGAATACAAAATATAATATCTTTTTATCCAATATAAATTACTTTTTTGTGTTTTATTATAAACAAAAACGTTTCTAGTCAACAGATTAAAACTGTTGTTTGTTCAAAGATGTTCGCTGTTAGCTAACTAAACATAGAAATGTATACATGAATTAAGAATAAAATACTAAAAAAAAGAAAACAAAATCGAGTTTTAAATGACAAGTTGTTAAAATCACACACACTATTTAAATAGAAAATAAAAATAAAATTTTATAAACGATAATTCATTTTTATAATGAAGAAATTTATGAATGTTTTTGTTTAATCAGACACCTTTATTGTTAGCTGTTATTCTGACGTCAATATTTTTTTTTCTTTTATTTTTTTCTTTTACACAAATGTAGAGTCTCTCAAAACACTAAATTATTTATCCGACACGACGTGATCTACACTTATTCATAAACTCGTCTCATCATATATATAAATAGTAACAATTTTTCATCAAAAACAAAAGATAATCTGTCAACTAAAATAAAATATGTAGATTACCGTTTCAAAAGAGAATAATAATACATAATTTGAAAACGATATTGTCGGGGATTTTTAAAATAAAAAAACATATCATCATGCTACATAACTTCCTCGCTCTCTCTTTCTCTCTTTCTCTCTCTCTCTCTCTCTCTCTCTTATGAATGTTTCCTTTCAACTGATAGAGATCTACGTAAAAAAAACATGAAAATTGTAAAAACAAAAAGAAGAACACGTATAAATATAACGCCTAATAATCGTTGTTCAACAAAGAAATGCGCGGGTTTTCTTCTGACTATTTTTATTTTTTTATAGATATAGAAATCTGTATGCTAAATAAAAAAAAACTATAGATAGAGAAGAAAGATAGCTTGTTTTTCGTTAAAAAAAGAAAAAAAAACTATAGATTCTATCGAAAGATCTTGACAGCACATCGATATTAATCTGACATTGCAGGTTTAAATTATTTCAGTCATATTTAGTGATAAAAATTTACAGCATCGAAAAAATACTAATTTAATGTTACGAAACATGGGAATAACCATTTTTACTACACAAATTATCATTGCTTTAATTTTAGTAAGTAAATAAATACCAATTGTTTAATTGTATACGATAAATCAATTGACATATTAATGTCATATCGTAGACTTGACTTATAGAGAAAGAAGAAATTTTCTCAGTTTACTTTATATAAAACAATAGAGCTCTCATATTGTCTATACTCTATAATTTAATTAGCAAGTGTTTTTTTATTAGATCGAAATACCTGAAAATATATTTTCATTTTCTGTATTAATATCACTATTTTCGTCATTTTTTTTGTTTTATTTTTGTAATATCATGGATAATCATATATTTTGAACTGTCGAACAATACTTTGTTTCTTTTAACGTGTTTTTTTATAAATTACAAATATAAAATAAGAATATTTCTCATGAGAGTCAATGTCTTATTTGTTTGAGAATATTTTTTTAGTTATATAATAGGTGGTGCTTCAAAATAGTTAATTGAAAAATAGGTGTTTCCTCTTCAACTACTAATATCTATGTATTATAGAGAGTGTAGAGAAAGTAGTATTACCATTGATATTCTACTATTTCCATCTCGTATTTTTAATTTTTTTTTCTTCTTCATCGTTCATGAAGATAGAATATCATTTTTTTCTACAATTATTTAATTATTTTTCTACTTTAAGAATAGTAATTAAATTATCGTGAATTTTCAATTCAATTATAAACTGTTAGTCTGTTGTATCCGACAGAATCCTGTTGTTATAATCTATTGTTATCATAATGTTGTTTGATCAAATTTTAGCGAAAACAGGACACTTCTCAAGATAAATGAATCATTTTATATTTTTATCAACTTTGTATTAACAGATAAGAAAAAAGATATTTTCATTTTGACTATATTTACACCTACTATTCGATCTCGAATGATTTTCTTTCACTCAATTTACTTACTTAGAATCGTCTAATTTAGATGAGAAAAAATCAATTTTTTGTTGTTGTTGATCATCATATACAAAAAAAAGGCTAATAAACAACAAATTCTTACCTCTGTTTATTGAAATATGCTATTTAGATCAATCTGTGCTTAGTACTCTCTAAAAAGAAAGGTTTATGTGTGAAACTTGAACGAGTATAGAGATGTGCAACTATTTCTACATCCTTTTAGGTTTCTTAGAAGAAAAGGCGGGTTACGAAACCGTTTAAGTGCATAGATTCCATTAGTTTTTTTTCTGAACAAGTAAACCATTTCAGCAGCTCGGCCATGCTCTCATAATATAGGGCAGCGAAAACTGAGCTCAAAAAACTACCTGAAACATTTTTGGTTTTTGATTTTTCGTGAGAAAATCATAAGGAAAAAACATATAACGAAATAATGCATCGATCAATCGTTTTAATACACTTAAAATAGTTTGGTATCCTACCTTTTCTTCTACAAAATCTGAAGGATTTAGAACTAACTGATTGCACTTCTCTATACCCTTTTAGGTTTTATACGCAAACCTTTTTTTTTTTTACAGACTAACTATTATAAATCTCATGATAGAAATAAGTTTTAATTCGTATTTCGAATTTACTCTATCAATTTGTTGTTACTTTTTTCTATCATTTATTAGTTTTGAATACAATAGAATACAGAATTATCTACAAATTTTAAATATCTATATTACTCCATATTCTTATAAATCATAAGTATAGTATATTGTTCAAGTATTGTTTTTCGACTTCTCTTTCAACACACAATTGTAACTTTCTATACTTCATATAGAATAATTAGAGTAAATGAAAAGAAAAACGCCTTCAGGCAACTATATATCTAAAATTGTTTGGTAAAACAATAAAAAATTCTACTAATATTTTGTTTTTATCTTTTTTATTCGTTACTTTAGATTGCCGGTCAATTATTGTTGGTTTATTCTGAAACAACTCCACACAAACAATATCATCTATTAAATGAAAATGAAAATAAAAATTACAATAATAAACTAATCGTTGAAAAACCTATACAGACATCATCCATTACCGATCACCTTCCTGGTTACCATATTTTGAATGATGATGACGAACAACAACAATATAATAGTGATGAAGACGATGATGAGCAAGAAAGAAATAAGCGCTATCGTTTAGATAAACGAAATCTTCGAGAAAAAAGATATCGTTTAGATAAAAAAAGTTTTGATGATGATTTACAGGATTTAGATAAACGATACAGATTAGATAAACGTTATCGTTTGGATAAAAGGTATCGTTTAGATAAAAGGTATCGTTTAGATTAAAACAGAAAAACAATAGAGATAGAGACTTCTTTGTTAATCGTTAGAAAACAATTAGATTTTGGAGAATGTCACATTTTCATAAGAGTAACAGAGACATTTACAAATGTCGAATAAATAAACACGATAACTGGTTATGTTTTGATTTTTTGACATGTGTATGTTTTCCATCTTTATTTGTAAAAAGGATTGTGTCAATATCTCTATTAATATATTTATAATAATATATATATATATATCGTATATTTTCAACTTTTAATCTTTTATTTCTCTTTAATTTCATTTTTTTTATAATGACGACAGCAGTAGCAGCAGCAATAGCAACAATAACAACAACAAATAATGGTGGAAAAAAATGAGAAGACTTTTCAATTAGAAAAAGTAAAATAAAATAATTAAAGATCGATGATATTTCTGAACATATCAGAGTGTAAGAAGTGTTAAAAGTAATTTGGTTTTCTGAACCGAAATAGAATTATATGAAGGTTTTTTGTTCACTTTTAAAAACATAACAGATTGTTCATTGATAACGTATGAATGAACATTGTCTAATGGAGAAAAAAAAACAAATCATACAAATTCAATTTAAATATTCACAATGTATGTTAAATTATAAAAGATAGAATGAAGAATGTTAATCACTGAAGGGAAGAATTGTTCGAAATTAGTAAAATGATTGTGTAGTTAATGTAAGGATTGTTGATAATTTCCAAATATTTTTTATTCTATAAGCTCTAATAATTTTACAATGCCTAAATTACACATAAACTGAATGATGAGAAGCAATGATTGACTCTCGTCTATTTAACGATGTGGATTCACGTAAAGAATGTTTTGTATTTTTATCTTTTTCTTTATGAGCTGACATATTACAAGTACCTAGTAGGATAATCGCACTAATAATCGTTAGAAAAAATGCTATCCATTCTAGTCCCATTGAATAACCAGTTTTAATGATAACATATGACTCAAATCTGTTCACGGCTATTCTCGTATCTTCACTCAATTTATATATTTGATTTGTTCGATAATGTCTTTCAATGGCCACTAAATATTCTAATGATTCAAATCTCAAATAATTATTCATTATAATTAAATTTGACATAAGAAAAACTATTGAAAGTAAAGATGATATGACACCAATAAATTTTATTCGAACACGTATTTTTTTATCATCAGTTAAAGGAAGCCAAGCGTAGAGAATAATAGTTAATACAATAAATATTACACCAAAACCACAAAAATATTGGCATACTGGCACATATGTAGGATATTTACAATCACATGATGATAATGAATTTTGATGATTTTCCTTGAAATATGTTTGATCAATGGCAAACGTTTGTAATAGATAATGATTTTGGATATCAAATATTTTTTCATTTTTTTTCGTACAAAATCGATAATATTGTAAACTATGACATTCATTAAAATCAACATCTTCATAAGATGGTAAATAATTTTTTGTACATAATTGATTTTGATGTTCTTTTAATATATTAGGAGTTGTATTTGTACTATTCAATAGACGTTCACAACGTCGAAATAAGCCATAGGAATGTTTTGTATAACGATGAACAGCGTTAAAATAATGCAATACTTCTGTGCGAATTAAAGCATCAATACCATCAACATATAACGCATTCGAATTTGGTATTACTTCTTTCCAATGTGGAGTAAAATAAGCGATCAAATGTAATATAAGACCAATAGTACATAAAATAATACCAATAATAGAGCCAATTAAATAACTTGTAACGGGTTTATTTTTGAAAAACATTTATTAGACTATACCATTAAAGTCAACAACTATAATATAACATAGAGTTTTGTATGATAAATAGAGATGTACATGAACTTTTATATCTTCCATGACGAAGTTACATTAGTTTCATTTCATTTCGAAACCGTATAAAGTACTAGAAAATCTTGCGTATATAACACAACAGACTTTAATAGTCGCAATGATTATATCTTGTACACACCGTTTTATGATTTATACGGCATAAGAAAGACAGTCAAACTGGTTGAAATGCTCTGATTGATGAATATCCAATGGATGTTTGTATAAACTGAAGAAAATTCTGGATTAAGCGATATTCTGTTTTTGCTTATTCAAAGTCTCATAGTATAAAGAGTATTTGAAACATGTTTGAAACATTCATGTTGATTTGTTAACTCAGCGTCAGATGAAGATACAGTTTGAAATATGAACTCTTTTAACAACTATAGCAGTATTCAAATAGATTGTATGTGCGTGCACTTTATTAATACCAAATTTGAATGTTTGTATTATCTGTTTCTATTCTTGATGATCTGACATTAGACTAAATCAATTATATACTACAAGGTTTCAATAATTAAACTTTTTCTACGTATAAATCAAAATAGTTATTTCTATTACATACCTTGTTTAACTGTCTATAAATTGATTTTTATCTTTTTCTCTTCTTATAGGGTTGTGTATTGATATCTGTATCATAACGACTACACCTATTCAACTCCTTTATATTAACCTACAGGTATAAAAAAGTTAGATCAAATTCCTGTATTTTCTCTCATTTTTTTTTTTTGGTAAAAATATTTTGTGATTTTTTTTTTATATTTAAAATATGATTCGTTGTTCTAATATATGATTCAGATGAAAATGTTCTTTATTTGTACGTATATTTGAAGCATAGTCAGTATAAAGAAAAAAACGAAATTTTTTTTTTTTTCGTTCTAATAATTCTCCATGTGATTTCACATATGGAGAGACATTTTATTTATTATCTATTTTATACCATACACATACAATTAAAAAAAAATGAATAGAGAACGCGAGAGATATGAAATTGAGCTGTTAGTTGAAGGACATAAGTTTTTTTTTATTTTTTTCTCTCTTCAGGTTCAAGCTTATCACACCTGTGTGACATGATTTTAGATCCTAGAAGGTTTATGCAAGGATAGTGACAAAAAAACGAAAATTATTCTTTTAAAATTATCGTTTAATAACAGTTATTTAGAAACCACAAAAAATAAAAGTACGATCATAATCTATATATTAGAAGTATATACAAATATTAAAGTAAAAGTTCACATATGGATTCTATTTTCATATGTTTCGCAATACTTAAGAAAGGTTAATTGTCTTAGTAATAAAATCGTTTACGGTAACATAGAATGATGGCCGTATAATTCACTTACTCTGTTACAAATTAAAAGATAAAAGAGTATAATTGAAAGGAAACAAACTGAAATCTATTTTGTTTATCTGATTAACAAATAGATATGTAACATTATCTTTTACCTTTATAGTAATTGTTACTAATAAAAGAAAGAATAAAAAGAAAAAAATGTTGACAATTTAAAATAGTTAAAATTGAATGTTTTAATTTAGTTTTTATTATATAATAGCATATTTTTAAAAGTAAAATAAAATAAAAAAGTAAAATTTGATTAATTGAACTATGAAAAATGACAAGATCATTCTTCGACAATGAATTGACGAGCTTTTCATAAACATTGTGTCAAAAATCTCATATTTAGAGTTTATAGAACTCATTCTCTTCTATCAAAAAAGAAGTGTGACTTTTTTTCAGACAAAAAATCGTATATAGATTGACAATCAGTTCGGTCTGAAAAGCTGAATCAGTTATGTGGTTTTATCGGAGCTGAGTCAGAGTCTGAAACAGCTTGAAAAAAATCGAAAATTACTTGTTACAAAAAGCCATTTTCTTCTCTTTTGCTTCTCATTGATTTAGAGTTGAATATCTTTATCAACACTCTCAGGGTTAACTCAAGATGATGCTATGGAATTAGCAATTTAATAATAATTTAGCATTTAATAATAGTATTCATACTTCTTCCTTCTCATATTAATACTGTTCTTAAATTGTTTTTGTAATAGTGAAGGTTATATATTTTCGAATTCTTCTTCTATTGATTGAGATCTAAAAAATCTGACTGAAATCAGTTCTGAAATATTTGAAAATTTGGTTCTGATTCTGTCACCGAGCTACTCAGAACAGAGATTTCAATCAGATCTGATAGGATCCTAATAAAACTGCGATTCAGCTTTACGCTGATTGTCCACGAGTTTAGGTTCATTTAAAGCTTTAATCTGTTTAATATACGCGAACAAAGTTTAAAAATATTCTAATTACAGAGAAATAAAGCCCAAATTAAGTTGAATAATGTTTTTCATGAGAATTGGTCGTGTATAAATATGGGATAAAATCGATTGTTCGTGTTTCTTTGAAATCGAACTGAAAATTTTTTCTAATCCTATTGGATTAGAATTAGACCGCTCGTATTTTCTATATATTTATCTGTAAGTCTCAATCTTTTACAACGAAAGCAATAGTGGTATTATTGAGCAGCGTAACAATTTGTTGGCATTTGTCGGTAAGAAGTCTGATCTGAATTAGGTAGTTTATTGTTTCCTAGAAAATGCATTGTATGCAGATCGAGAAAACAAGTTGCAAAGATGCCATTTTTCTTTTCATATTCACAATTGCCCTATAATAGTTCTTAATAAGCTATTAAAGAACTAATTGAAAAGTATTCAAACCTATTCAGATCAACCGAAGTTTCAACCTTGTTGAAAAACGCTAAGACTTGACAATATGAGTAAACAAACCGTGTACAGGTACTTCTGCATTTTGAACAAAATTAAACGAACGGATAAAAGTAATGATAGACTCTTGAAACAATAGACAAAGTGAAAGATGGTGAATAATCTCTCACTCTAAAAAAGATAGCCGTCAGATACTATATATTTAAAATATTATGATATATTCAAACAAAAGAAACAATCGTAGAACACAATTTCAAACAAACTGATATAGGTACAGAAAGAGTTCTAATGTATGATTAGAAATTGTAGATTTGTCCATTTTTACTATTTTTCGTAGGATTCTTTACATTAACTAAAATATTTTATTAAAACAACAAGATAATTATTGATCTGTTTTGTATACCATAATACTGTGATAGTTATATGCACTATGTTGTCGATAACTTATATTGAAATGTTAAAGAAAAAGCGATTAGTCAAACATTTTGTTATTTATAAACAAAAAGTCGCGTTTATATTCTTTTCTGAAGCGAAATAATGATAAAAAGAATGACAGATTTTTTTCTATTAGTCATTTTAGAATATGAAATGACACTTAAAGACAGATAGTAGAACGTACGTCATTTCGTCAATGTACAAATGAGAGATTCTCTGACGAAAAGAAAAAGTAGGATTCTTTTTAAATTTGACAATATGTAATATAAACGTTCGATGTCGTGAAAGTTCACTTACAACTCTTCTCGTATTATGGATGCTTTAGTACCGTCTTCGGCAGCAGAAGGAGTAGGTATTTTTTTCTTCTTAAATTTCGTTAAATTGCTCAACCTAATTTCATTTTTCCTACAGAGTCCGCCCTCAGCCGAACGGATTTTAAAATCCGATTTATACGTACTTCATTGTAAGTATTTTGACCGTAATAACATTTTATTGAAGTTATTAATTCTTTTTCTAGTTTCAAAGGAGACAATTATCAATCCATTGGATCTTAGTCGAGATTATGTCCAGCGTATGCTAAGAACTGGTAGTGATAAATATTTGTTTGATCATGCTAATACAATTTTGGTAAGTGTCAATGCTCATAAAAAACACCCGTGAAACTTCATGTTAATTTTTATTTCAGTTACAAGAAGCAAAAAGTACAATCGTGTTGGAATATAATGGTCGTTGGTTACAAGCCGAAATAGCGTCACGTGGTGGTTTATTAAGTTGGCGATGTGCAGTTGTCAATTGGCTGATTGGAATTCAAGTAAGCGACATGAAAATCAGAAGAAAAAGTGACTAAAATAGTTTTCTTTCGAAAAATAGGAACATGGCAGTATTGCTTGGCATTCTTACTCTATTCCTACTTTCCACCATTTGAAAGCGACTTTATTTTCTAGCGCAAGAATCAAATGAAAGATGAAGTTGCTCAACATGCCATTCGTTTAATGGATTCAAAAGATACTCTACGTGGATATTACGATCGAGACTATCAGTTAAGAGCATTGGCCTATTTTATATTATCCGCTAAATTTCACAATCGTATTCATGTCAGAGTAGGTATAAAAAACAATCTTTTTCTTATGCTAACAATGTTGATGTTGTTATTTCTATCCTTTATAGCTCGAAGAATATGCACGTTATACGGCAAATGCATTTGGTACAAAACAAGATATTGCTCCCACTATTCGTAATGTATTTCGGGATTTAAATTTTTCGCTACAAATCGCTATACCATACGAGTTAATGGAAATCTATTTAGAATTGAATAGTAATCAATACACAGTCAATTTACCAGAAGTAAGATAATATAGAATGTTTTAGATTTTTGAAATTGTTTTATTATTTGAGTAGATTCGCAATTTGGGAAATTTATTTCTTCATATTGCATGTGTTCAAGCATGGTCGAGTTGTTTTAATGCATCATTATTAGCCACAGCAGCAATGTATTTGTGTTTAAAATTTGTTAAAGATGAAAATATTATTCAAATACCAGATTTCATTTCATTTCTATGGACAACATCCTATCCATTTGAATTAATTTGTGGAATAGCTGGTTACATAGCGATGATTGTTTGTGACATACAGAATGTACCAGTGGATCGTGCATCGCATTATTTTGTAAGTAAAATAATTGTGCTTGTTGAAAAATCATATATTCATTTCTTATGGATCATAAGACTCCAAACTATCATATGTGAATGTAATAGTAGTAGCTCATGCTGTCAATTGTTTTAGTGTGTTGAATCAAATAATCAATCGCTTATATATTGTTATCTTATTTTTCTTGTTACAGTATGCTACAAAATTATATTTGGATGATTGTCATATTAATTATTCACTAGAATTAGTCAAATCATTTTGTAGACGATTTGTCTTACTTGAAAACATCAACAAAATTATTTCAAATGGTATGCGTGTTCTTGTTAAAAATCAAAAACTAATTATTGAAGAACAATATGTTAATCATTTAAATTCAACGCCAACATTATTTCCGGTGTCTACCAGAACAACAGCTGCCGCTGCACCCTATACAACTACAGTTACAAATCCACCAACACAATTAATTCAACAACAACAACAACAACAATCAACATTGCCTGTCAAAGTTAAACAAAAGCAAATGGATGTTGCAATTAAAACAGTCTTATGTGTAAAACGCTTTTTAAAGAAACTCCATGATAGACAAAAAATGAAAGAAACGCACAGCAAAATGATGGAAATGTCTGATGAGAATTATATTCACAAATAAGACAGAGTATGGTAGGTAATTTTTAAACTTTTTGTTGTGATGTGTGTTTTTAGTGTGATAAGTGTTCTCTATTTTTCTTTTTGTGGGTGAAGTTGTCAGATACAATTTTTGTCTTAGAAATAAAGTTTAGTAGTAAGTCTAAAATCCACATAAAAAACTAAAAGAAATGTTTTAGAAAAGCAGAACGTCCTATGCGGGAGATATTCTAAATTTAAGTGTTAATATTTATCACCATTGATTACTATCCATTCCAAAATTGGGACATTGCGACATGAATAACTCGAGAACGGAATGAACTAACGAGATCGGGTTTTTGCCATCGTGCAGCCAAGACCGGAGCACGTAATAATATACGGAAACCAAAACTTTTGCGTGAATCTCTGGAGAGTTTCTAAGTTGATCTCTGAAAAACCATCACCCCGATGGGGGAAGCCGTGATGGATTTTTGATTTACACAAGTGGCTTCAAATCGAAAATCCCTTCTCTATAATTCTGCGCAGGTTTGTCCGATCTTGCGTTCAAAAAAGGATCATTCTGGCAGAAAACCAGTCATTCTGAACGAAATGGCTAGGATCGATCACTCCATTCGATCAGACGACTGTCTGCCTTCTTGCTATGCTAGGCATAAGCGAAAGCTCGTTGGTCAACCTAAAGCGCGAGATGACTGATCAGCGTCAAAAAGAGCAAGAAAGCGTGCGTCCTAGCCGTCGAACACTATTAGCCGTTCGGACTCACCGCAAGCGACGCTACTCTGCCGCTGCCTCTAGCACATTCTATGTTGTCCCTCCAGTTCCGCCTCGCAAAAAGGACCATTCTGGCAGAAAACCAGTCATTCTGAACGAAATGGCTGAAGACACCATCCGGTACCATTTCCATCTTCTCTTAGTAAGTATAAAAACTCATTTTTGTCCTCAGACATCATTTTAACATTTCTATGTAGAGTAGATATATCCACCGTAGACATCGATTCTTATATAAGAATCTTATTAGAAACGTCTAAGTCTCTCACCGCGACTTACAAGATTCTTATCGGAATTATCAGAAATTCATAAGAAGTGCCAAAAACTCTTATGAAGTTTTCCAGCCAATAGAAGCAAGTTAATCCTAGCAGAAATCAGCAAAACGAACTCATGAGCTGTCTTTCAGTATAGTTGTGTGCAGCAAATTTGGTGATGGATTTACTTAATCCAATTTTGACGGTTTAAGGTATCCATTTTAACTGCCTCTAGATGTTATATATGAGTGATTTGCGCTGTCGTTGTACCGTTCATATAGAAAAATATCTCGAAAGTAAACATCCTTTGAACCTATTTTGATGATCTCATCAGTTTGTGGTAGTCCTAACAATGACAATAAAGTAGTTTTCCCAAGCGTCACTTTCATTTTTTGCAGAACGTTTGATTATATCAAAAAAAGCGAATTGCCCGAGGTTTTTTTAAATGGAGCCAAAGAATGATTTAAGCACATCGCCTGATAGATCTCGATGTGGGCAGCGGATTGCCCACATCGAGATCTATCAGGCGATGTGCTTAAATGCTTGTCTCAGCGCATTAGAACATCCATTTTAACATCAGTGAAGCATTGTTGAAGAAGTGAAAGAAGCAAAGTATTTCACCGTTCTTGTAGACGAAACAGGTAGAAATTAACGAAGAAAAGCTTCTTCTTTTCCTCATTATTTATCGGGAATTTCACTTTTCATCTGACGTTTCTAATGTGGAACAAGCGAGTCTCTGCGTCAGATATGTGTTGAACAATTAAATCAATGAAAGTCTATACTTCCTTTGCACATAACCGCTCACTGTCACTCTTTCTCTCTTTTTCCTCAGGATACATCAAAGGATGTCAAACAGTCCTTAGACAGTCATTTCCACAGATTTTGTACGTGCACTGCTCGTCACACTCATTAAACTCGGCTCTCTCTACTCGGATGCCTACGATCTCAGACCGGTTCAGAACACTGTTGGAACAGTGAAAGAAATCTACAACTTCATCCAACTCTTCCTCAGTTCGCTCATAGATCTTCGACAAGTTTGCACGACAATCCAAAGAGAAAGAGAAATCAAGTGACGATGAAAACACCAACACTGCCTCTTCCCTCTCTTCAGCAACAGCTCCACGGAGATTTAAGAAGTTTAAACTAGCGAATGTTTGCCCAACACGGTGGGTCGAGCGACGCACCTCAGTTGAAACGTTTCTCAGCTTGTTTCCTGTCGTTGTGGAAACTCTGACTGAGCTGTTAAACTCAACAGACAGAGAAACGAGGACGAAGGTCACTCTGCTCTACAATGCACTATTCTCCTCTGAATTCCTCGTCACTCTACCAATTCTGAACAAACTGTTATCATTCACAGTGAATGTTGCTCGTATGTGTAAAGTTTTCCCTCATTATCTCTTTAGTTTAATTAACGTAGTTTTGGTCTGCTCTCATAGGAAGCTTGCAGAACAGCCGAATCGACTTGATGCACTGCATTTCAAACGTAGAAGATATCCTTCAATTCACTCAAATGATCAGAAACTCGCCTGACGATGAGTACAAGTACTTGTTTGAAGAAGCTCAAGACTTAGCTAAACTGACTGAGAGTGTGATTGAAATGCTGAGAGTGGTGAAGAGACAGGTAAGACTGGAAACATAGAATACACGAACACCTTCAGAACTGTGCCTGACCTCCTGCCATTCTCTAGATCAATCGCGGCAACGTTCCAGCTGACAGCCCCTACGACTACTTCAAACTGAACGTCTCATTCCACTTCTCGATCATTTCCTAGCCTCCATCACAGAGCGCTTCGATGAACATGTGAAGAATGCCGTGACGATCTCTACGCTGATTCCGTCGTTTATTGAAACAGAACCTTCGGACATCACACACCGTCAGTTGAACTCTACAAGGCCTTTCTCCCTGGTTCTCCGTTATGTACAAGACACTTCATATTTTCTTAACGTAGTGTGCAGACTGTTACTTGATTTAACGATTTAAACTCGAATTTTTTGCAGTTTATATTCCGATTCCGAATATCACGTCTCGATTCCTCAAAAGACAGAGATATCGCAGAATACTCGAAAGGGGTCAAAAACGTCAAAAAAATATAACCTTTTTGCGAAAGACGGAAACTTGTTCAAGTCAAAGGTGCCAAGCAAAACTTGCAAAGTTTTCACAGGATCTCCAGAAGGTGCTAAAACAAAAATTTATACTCACAAAGTAAGTACACAGCAGTTTCAACGAACGAAAGAGCATGGAAACAAATCCTTCCACTTTTGTTGTCACAAACTTGAAATCGTTTCCCTAGTGAAAGTACTTATACGATGAGTACGACTTTACTCATAATTCGTCCACAAGTACTCATATTAATACTACTAACAATTTTTGAGTATTGCTACTAAGTGAGTACTCAGTTACTCATGTGAGTACTCAGAAAATATTCATTCACCATTTTATTTTGCTAGACTGAAACTGTATAAAGAACGTAGAATTTAGTGAAGAAACATAGAATATTTATATTGTTATTTCCTCACTGGCCTCTATGTATATAGTCAGGGATGGACTCGCCAGACTTGTAGTCCTACTCTGGCTGCCTGAGATCACTCCTCTATATGAAAATATCAGATGAACAATACTCATGAGTATTTTGCCAAAAGTTATATGGGTACTCAACAATATCCAAGCGTGAGTACTCAAAGCCGTACCCACAATACTCGTTACTCACTCAATGAGTAAAAAAATGTGTGAGTACTCATAAGTATTCGGGACATTTTTCAGCAGAGTACGACTTTGAGTACTCACACTTGAGTACATTCACTAGGAATTTGTTTAACTATTTTGAATACCAAAACTGGGTGCTCTTTTTCACAAAATGTGTGAAATCTAGGGATTTCTACTATGTACAACTTCGTTAAATATATTAACTTCGCAAGGTCTCAAAATAAAAATGCACTAAAGTGAGAAAAGCACCAAAGGTTGATATCATCGCAATCGTGAGTATCATCGGTGTAAGATCGCTTTGTCATTGGTGACTTTCAGGATGTAGCGAGTATCTTGTTCTTTTTGTGATATCCTGCTCTCTTGAGTAAATAAAATCTTATCTATCAGTTCGGTCCTGTTTGACACACAGAGGATTGGGACTAAGCCATTTCTCATTCACAGGATGCTAGACTGGCTCTAGCGACGAACGGATATTAGCGTCTAGTATTCAGGGATACGCATTCTCTGAAAGTCCAAGCGTGAATGTTTTCTTCACATACGGCAAGTGTCACCTTACTGGTAAGGCTCACGTTAGAATCATAAGACATCAGCTTCTCTCATCACTGTAAAAAAAATCCGTATTTTAAAAAACGCTTAAAGCGTTCGGGAAACTGAAACCACACCGAACGAATAAAAGTTTATGAAAGTACCCTTAAAGCGTTCCGGAAGGGGTTTATCACGTCTACAGAACCTTTTATTCGTTCGGTGTGGTTTCAGTTTCCTGAACGCTTTAAGCGGTTCGGAAAGGGGTCTTTTATGTCTCTATAGTGCACTATTATACTCTTTTGAATTTCTACACCGAGTGTCGTGCCATTTAATCTTCAGGAAGTAACTTCTTCTTTAGAATGAGAGCAAATCATGAAGATATTTTTTACAGAAACAGAAGAATAACAGTGAGGTGCTGTTGTCAGGTTTAGTATTAAGCAAGGTTGAGAGTACTTCTACAAAATTGTTACACCCCAACCCCCAAATGCCTACAGTATAAGATGTGATTATTTTGTAGAAGTGCTATGGAGAGTACTAGAAAGTTATTTGCATTGTTCTGAACTTCGAAGAATCTGAAACGCTAAGAAAGTAGCGAAAGATCATTTTTATTTCGTGATCTCCGCGACAGTAAGAAAAAAGGCATCTTTCTATCAAGTATCCACCGAGTCTCTTGACATGCTAACAACGACTCGTTCAAGTAATTAACTAAGCCGGAAAACAACATGACACGACTCTTGATCTGCTAATAATAAGATAAAAGTTTAACAAACACAACTGACTGGAAAACTAGCTGGTATTATTCATTCGATCAATGAGAAAATAACACGTATTCTCGTTCTGAACAGTTGAAAAAACCGCTGGTTGAACTTCACTGCAACTCACAGCTTGAATAATTCAATTTGTAGGCTTTCTTAAGCGAGAAAAGCCCTTTTAGTTCATTAAAAAATAAAAGGGTTTACTAGAAAACCAATGTATTTTTCATCCAAAGTGTGACACCCTGACAGTTTATTAATCCAACTCCGATACCTTTTTGGGTTTATAAAAACGCTTTTCTGTAATTCAGAAGGGTATATTAAAAAACCCTGCCGCTGATAAACCATTAAACGCTCAGGAAAACTGTCAATAAACTTTTCTCCATTCCGGAGGAAAAATGCGTAACGGTTAGAGTTTTTTAAAATACGGATTTTTTTAGAGTGATCTTTATTTTGTTTGATACCAGATTTTGAATCATAAGGGCAGAAAACTTCATCCGAGATGAAAATTTCTTCCACTAAAGTTATCACAGCTCACTACTCACTTTTTAGAAATAGAGTAAAGAAGATAGTTTACCATCGCGACAGAAATACACCGTAAGGATTTAAACGAGGGACTAGACCTTCAAAATTGCTGTGTACTTACTTTGAATCCGTATAAGTTCTTCAGTAAAAATGTCTTTTACCATTTTAGATAGAAATTATGGAGTACTGAAGGCATCGTAGGATGGATGTAAACTTCAAAAAGTGATCGCATCATGTTCTCGAAGAAAAGTCTGGGTAAAACATGATGTAACGACAGCCAGAGAGGTAATAATATCAGAAACTCATTCTAAATTTTTTATGAAAAAAAAACATATTTGAAAACGTTTGATCCAGTTAAAACAATGCGTGATACTTTAGTAGTTTTACTCTTAGGCAACGGAAAATGGGATTAAGAGCCCGCCCCCTCAGAAAAAACCCTTTTTATCTTACATCCGATTTCGATGGCACTTTCAGTACCTAATGCTTACTGTCCTACGAGCTTGTGCTAAGAATATGAAATCGAAACGTTGAAGGGCTGCCGAGTTATTGCGTGACACAAGGCAAAATGGGACTCTCATCAAAAGCGTAAAGGCTTTTTTGTTGGAAGGTGCAGAAAGTTGCCAATGGTCTCAAATGAAAGTAGACACCTAAATCTAAAATTTATCATCACTTCATTAATTATAGGTCAGCGCCTTTAGCAAAACTAGTATGACTCTACAAGACAAAGCCGTAAAAACCTGCTGGATATCTCATTCTGATCAGAACACTCGGTTCAACATAGCGCCATGTCTGTTAAAACGGACAACCTTAAAAATTTTAATTAAAATGTGAAATTTAGAAAAAGGTGATTTTTAGGGCTTTCAGAAATCTCTTTCAAAATCCTCCAAAAAACATTGAATTTTTGGCAAACCGAGATGGATTCTGAAAGATGACACTTTCGAACACTGAACCGTATGGTTACTTCAGTGTCGAAGGTTTCGAAGAAAACATCAAATTCCTAAGGGGGGCCCCTTAATTCGTATAATGCTCGTTTAAAACTTCGCTGTTTTTCCAAATTTGTCGTTCTTTTCGCCAAGAATAGGACCAATTGACAGTTATTACAATACGTAGCCTGTGTATCGGCTGAACGAACGATAAATTTGGGAAAACAGCGAAGTTTTAAACGACCATTATACAAAATTAATCCCATTTTCCGTTGTCAAAGAGCAAAACTACTAAAGTATCACGCATTGTGAATCCTTTTGTTGTTATAACTGGATCAAACGCCAATAGCGAATGAACCGCGATCGCGACAGTCGAGAATGTTCTCGACTGCCTTCAGTAAAAAGTCGCGCTTTTTTGTTCAAAAAAGATAGAAGTCGCTTCGCAACATCGCGAGAACAAAGCGTCACGCCCACTAAAAGGACAAAATGAAGGAGTCGCGACGCGATAGCGCGAGTCGCGTCGCGAATGTAGCGACTATATAGGAAAAATCCCGTTCCATCGCTACTTTATAGCGATCGCGAAATTAGCGAGAAATTTCGCGAGTCTATAAGCGATCGGGTTACGCGTTCGTGCCGCGACTTTTTATCGCGACTTTATCGCGATAGTCGACATGGGATATTTTAAGAATCTTTTTCTTTCCACTCTTCAGACATAGAACATCTATTAATTCTTCTTTTCTTGTGTATTGTTATTGACAACATAGTCAAATTAAATATTTTTATTGTTTTGTGAGGAAGGATGCCGTGAGTATTATTATTTGAGTGTGCAAACATGAAAGAAACTCAAACTGCCTTAGAAGAGCTTCAATAAGACAATTACGCATATGATATCACCTGATTCACAATCCTGAAATATAACAAAAGCACTTAGTAAAGTTAAATCAACCAAATTAAACAGCAACCCTCTAACATTAAGTGCAAGCGTCATCTGCAGGGCATGTGTTGTTCGCCTGATTCTATTAACCAATAAGAGGTAAAATTATTTTATATGATTAATCCCGTCCATCCACACGAAGTATTTGTACCCATATCATAGTACCGTCTTAAACCTTCTCCACAATAAAAAATGTTTTATCTGCTTGTCATTTAAGGTAGTGTGTCACAATCGCTCAGTAGCGTGGACACTACTGAGTACATGTGACCTACTAGAAAACGAGGAATGAAACAAATTGCAATATTTCTTAATAACACTTCTGTTTTCATTGACTAAAAGGACATACAGACGGCAAAGTGTCGTTTCATGTAATTGTTCTGTTACAGAATCTTGTCTTATAAACAAAAAAACAACTAAACTTTAGTTCGTTTCATAATAGTGAACTTTAATCCGCTAATTCCAAAAAGAAGTTTTCAAAAATGAAGCACTCTACATTATCTTGGTGAAATAAAGTCCAGAGATACAGAATAATCAATATTTCATTCTTTTTCAAATATTGTTAGCGTCGTAGGCAGATGTTTTTTTGTGATTGGGTATCACGATTTGCTCTTCAGATTGACAAGTGTTCTAAAGATGATGAAAAAACTGACTTACGCTAATCTACCTGGCATTGTATGTTGTTGTTTTTTTCTACTCGATTCATTAAATAAGGTATTTTTATTTTTGAGGCGAATGATCAACCAGATTGTTTCGAAACACCCGATTACCCATTACCAGATCAATATCATGAAATTGGTAATGATAATACAGATTCTGTAACACAGTTTGATATCAATACAAAAGAAATTCATAAGACATTTAATGGAAAATATTTAAATGGAAACGCAGCTGGTATGTTTGTGGAACAATAATAAATTTCTTGTTGTGCGAAAACAATATTTTCCCAAAGATGAGTGGGTGTTTAATAAAGAGAAGCAGTAAAGGTTTTCTCAACCATTAGGAAAAGCTTAGACGACTATTATCTGAGAGAAACGTTATTTGCTTTTAGACTTTTCCAATGACTCAATAAAAGTACGAGGGTATATTCAACGTGGTGTTTACCAAAACGTACGTATAGAGGAAATGATCTTCTATTCACATTGATAAATTATATTGTGATTTTCTTTTTACTTTTTAGCATCGTGAACCAGAGTCAGAAACGCCCATAGAACGTTATAAACGGATAATGCGTGAATTACATGAACTAGAAATTGAATTTGGTGAAGTATGTTCGATAGCAAAAAAGATGTTTGATAGTACACAAATTTTGGACTTATTTGCTTAGAAGTCGAAAGATGGCAAAAGTTTGAGTAAAGAAGAAAACAAAAATTTAAATGCCGTTGTTAAACATGTTCAACAATTACATGAACAGACGTCAAAAGTCTATGGTGCAAAATATTTAATTAGTGGAGATAGTAAATCGTTGGACTATGGAACCGATGCAGGGTAGAGAAAAGAAATAAAGATTAACAATTAATTTAAATAATTTGAATAAATGAATAGTTTAATTCTTTTTTAGTTCATTGTTGAACAAATTAACAATGCGTCATTCTACATCAAAAGATGCAAAAAAACAAGAAAAATCGTTAATATTAACAAAAAATGAAGAGAATAGTGGATCGGAGGCGTTTAAATTGTACATTAGTCCGAGAGCACCAGTCTCAAACACACCATTAAGAGTACGTAAGAAGTCCAATTTGCTTATTGAATAATTAAAAGTATTTTTTTTTCCAGTTTTCTGAGATAGAACAAAAAGTGTCGAAATTAGAAAGTTTGATTGGAATAAATGAAAAATCTTTAGTAGGTGAAACAATATTGGTGACCAGCATTATGTTAAAAAATGTTATTTATTATTTTTAGAATTCAATTCCAAGTGAATCAGATTCGAAATCATTAATTGTAAGTACACATTTGATGCTGTTAATATATGACCATTCAGACAGACAATGTAGTAAGTTTGTGCGTAAGACAAATGCAGTTTAAATCCCACTTTTAATAAGCACTAACTAACTAAAACAGTAGTTTTTCAAAATGCGCAGACACTATGTCATACAAGTCTGCTGTAATGAGAAGTTATTTATACTCACAGACGACACGTCTTTGTATTGCAATAAAACAACTAGTATTTCTTTAACAGTAGCACTACAATTTAGTTTTTGCGGCTTTTATCATTCGCAGTTCATTCGATAATTTTTAGAAAATAATAAACTTATTTGTATTTTTAGAGTACTCTTGAACATTTATCAAACCGTTTTGATATACTTAAACAACAAAATCTTGAGCATCTTGATGTAAAACTATCGAATGTTTTAACTCATCTAAATGCTGTTAATGAAAAGAAAGCGTTAGTTGATGAACAAGATAAACAAAGTAAAGTAAGTGATTATAGTTGTCTTATTTCATTCACGATGTCAGACTATTACTGCAATCATACTACAACATTGATCATGATTATGCTAATCATGATTAACTTTATGCATAACTAAAAGATATTTAGTCTAATCATGATTAAGTATAGTGTGATCTGTACAGTTCTCTTATTAACTTGTGTTTTATCAAAATTTTCTGTATTGATGATGAATCTTTCCTTATTCAAAAGCTCTACAATAAAGTTTTAAATAAATAAATAAATAATATTTTTCATTACAATAAATACTCAAGCAGCTGTAAGTAGAATTAAGACATGATTAATTTTAATCATAATTAAGGATACAATGTGATCGAGAAAGAATAAAAAACTTCTTTTATAGGCTACCGAGTTATTTGATATGATGTCACGTTGGGAAAATATGGCTGCTAGTTTACCCCAAATTGAAGAACGATTAGTGGCACTCAATGCTTTACATCAACGAGGTAAATAATAACTTTGATAAATTTGTAATCATCTCAATAATAAATATTGTATATTTAAATAAGCAAATTCTTTCAATCTATTATATGAACCATTTTATTTCTTCTTTGTAGCGTTTCAATTCAGTTCAGCTCTGACACACTATAACACTGAACAACAAACTCTGAAAACATCACTGGATTCAAATGATCACTTATTAAAACAGGTATGATCCAAAATAAAGATTGCTGGATTATGGTAATGATTATTGATTTTGTTTCTTTTATCATTTAGTTGAAAACAACATTTCAAACAAATTTAGAATTATTAAAAACACAATTGGAATCACTTGATCGTAAAATATTGAATAAGAAATAGGCAGCGTCGAACAAAGTTTAATATCATCTTTGTTAGTGGTGCACATGTTTTTTTGAATTGTTGTAGTTTATTGCAGTGATCTATGTAGCGAACGCTTCGGATGGACGGCGTTTCATTCAATTTGTCATGTCGAAAATTAACAATTGATGTGGGAAAAAAATAGAATTTCAGACAATAGCATCCCTCCAAACGTTAATCCGTACCGTCGGTAAATAAAATCTAGATAAATCACTGGATTATCGATTTGTGTTTCTGATGGTATTTTTTTCTTTTTGTGTTTATTCAGATACTTTTTTATATGAACTTTTCTCTTATTAAAACAAATATAGCTATTAGTTTTGGATTATTTTTCTATACTTGATTGAATGATAATTGTGTCCAGCCAATATAAAACGAATTTAATAAAATAAATGGTTACTATAACAACGAAATATTTTTTTCATAAAACGCATGATCGAAGCAAACTGTAACTTATCTTCGATTTTGACTATTAGTGTGTGTGTTCATGTATTCTAGATGTGTCACATTAACTGTTCGTAAAATTTGGTATATTTAATTACTTGCGAGGAAGGATATTTAAAATGATTGAATTTGTTTTTATAAAAATAAGAAAACTAATAATAATTTCAATCAATCTGATATATTAATATAACCTATTTTCTATTTTTATTTTAATCACGTCTACATTGTACTATTTATAAATAAAATTATTTTTTTTAGATTTTCTATTTTTTATAATGTCATCTGATGTTAAAATTCAGAAATGGATTGATCGTCGATTTTTTCTCTCAACAAATGAAGCTGCCTCTCGTCTATTTTGTTTTAATACATCGGATGGCTTTATGTTCGGAAATATATTTTTGGATGTACGTATGTGTGAAAAACAAAGAAGATAGAACATTTTAGTGTCTATCCTATTTGTTTGGTTAGAATGACAATACATTTTCATGTGAAGAAGTTGAAACAAATCATTTTGGCTACAATTTAAGTCAAATATGTTGGTTATCAAATACTGTTTATAGACCATCTCAAAAATATATAAGGTAAAATTTTTATCTGACAATTCATTAAGATCTAAATTTTATTTTTTATTTGTAGTATTAGCTTTATCAGTATGCCGAATACAAATGGACAATCATCAGTTATTTTCAACAGTAATACAAATGGTGATCAATCGTTAAAAGTATATTAATATTTATATCAATTTGTTTATATTTCTATAGAAATTATTTTATTTTTAGTGGCTCGATGAGAATATGGAATCTACAACATCATCCATAGCATATAATCCAACACAAGAACGTATTGCAATTAGTTATTTAAATAGTTCGATAAAAATTTATAATCTTTCGCATAATAATTGTTTACATCAGTATAAATTTGATAATGAAATATATAATCTCGATTGGAATAAAATTGATTCACATTTAGTAAGTATTTTCTGTTGCTCAACAGCTTCAAAAGACTAGACAATTATTACTAGTCAATTGATTGAGTTTAATAGGAATTGAACAATAGGTACAAGAATAAAATAAAATTCAAAGATATGGTGAGCTTTGCTATAAAAGGTACTCATACTGTAATAAAAACATGCTATGTTATTAACCACTATTACACACGTTACTTAAAATAGTTACATTAGACGTTTTCAAATTGTCGATTCCCTTGTCTTCTCCCTTATTTAAGAGATAGTCGTGCTATATCAACACTAGAAGGTTATAACCTACATCTTTTTGCTAGCATATTTACTTTTTGTTCCTTCAGTTATTAATAAATCAACCAGATCGTCTAGTTGTATACGATTATCAACGAAAATCGATTAGTTGTACATTATCAGCCAAGGAAAAACAAAAAGAATATTTCGCTGATTGTATATGGAAACCGTTATCTTCTTCAATGATTATTGCCCGATGTAAAAATGACTTGCTTGTATGGGATAAACGAATTGGACGGTATGTTTGACTTTATATTCTGGCTTTTATGTACATTATCTAACATTCTTTTTTTGTTGTTAAAGTGAACCGATTCGAACAGAACAACTGGGTCAAATCGGATATTATCAAAACATGAAATTTAGTTTTCATTCAAACAATATACTGGCTGCATATAATTCGACGTTGAAAAAAATAAAAATCTATGACTTTCGATTTATGATTGTAAGTTCTAATTAAGAGAACTAGTGAGAGAGAGAAACTAGTTATTAAGAAAATAATCTCATCCTCGTCTCTTTTTTGTTCTTAGATGCGTCAAGTAGAATCATTTTGTAATGAATCGTTTCTTGATTATCATTGGACAACAGATGCACCGGCACTTGTTGTTGCCACTCATTCTGGACAATTACATTGGCTGGATATTGACTATCGTTCTGAGAAAAAAATTTCATTTGGTTAAATTGTTGACAGTATCTTTTTCTATTGAACAGTACTACTATCGTTGTTAACAGAGTTTTGTACAGAATCATTTTTGTTGTTGTTATTATAAGACAAATATTCTATTTTCTGTGCTATTTTTGAAACATTTTTTGTTCTTTTGTGCTAATTAAGAGATAGATAATTGTAGGTTTTTTTTAAAAGTTTTATATAGAATAGATATAACGCTGAACTGTAATCGATAATATACACTGATGCAAATTGCCATAAGCAAAAAACACGTACAATCGATCATCAAGTGCAATATCTTAGAGTATGTCATTGCTAAATGGGAATGCTATGTAGAAAAAGAAAAATGTTTTATCTGTAATTCCAATGAAAGAGCGATTCGGTTTGCAGAATTGTGCATTTCATAAAGGCTATCGCTTTAAGTAACGCATCCCCTCCAGAATATAAGACGTCCATAATCTTCTATTTGACAACCAACTCAAGTCGATTTTGGACCAAAAAGTGTGAACGAATCTTAGGAAAAAATTGACAGTAATGAGCTTTTATTCTGGAGGAAGTTTACGCTAAACCAGACATCACTAAGTTCATGATAATTTGAACTTATTAACGAGAGTTTACACTCTTTTCCTCAGAAGATCGGTCTAAAATATCGCAATCGATCGCAGAAAAACGTCTATTTAATGATGAACGGAACGATTCACTCAAAAATCTAGTATTGCATAATGTAATAACTTAAGTCAAAATAGGCTTTTCAATTTTCGGCACGATCTCTGCACTTTTTGGATGTATTTTGTTTTAAAAAGTAAAGTTATACAACTTTCGAAATATTAAAAATATATGGAGTATTTTCATAGTTTTTGTAGACTCATGCTGTTGTAGGTTCGAATCGTCCTTTCGTAGAATTTGTGCGCTCAGGCGTTGGTGAGAATGAATGGTTTACTCAAAAGAAAACTGTATAAAAAGAAAATATTTTCTAGTGGAAAGCAATGGATCTCCTTTTGTCTTACTCAATCGAATTAATCAGTGTTATACCTAAAATAGGAGCAAAAAAGAAACAAATACTTCTGGTGGTTTAGTTAAATTTGTACTACTGAATTGATAACTCCTAGGATTCAGTCATTATGATCGTTTGAAGGTGCCTGTATAAAAAGGTTGGTGCTACTCATAGATGTCCTTACGTGGAACATTCTTATGCCCATTTTCAGAACATAAAAGCATGCGGTTTTCTCGCCATCAATGCAATTCTATTGACTCATTTTATTATTTATTCATATTCAACTCATTCTATTGACTCTGTTTATCACTATTGAACAATAAATTAGTGTCAAAGTACCAGAAAATATCAAGTTTTTAGTGAATACATGTTCTACGAATACAATAGCTCTGAAGATCGATTAGGCCCTCTCTACACTACAAAAGTTAAAGGAGCATTAAGCAGTTCTATTGGCTTAAACTAACTTTTAGCCAATAGAATTGCTTAAAGCTCCTTTAACTTTTGTAGTGTAGACAAGGCTTTACGCAAGTAAAAGCGAGTGTCATTTTTAGTGTGTTCTGAAGGCGTATCTAGGCAATCCCCCGGTCATCTCGATTGGCATAATGAAAAACTACGCTACGCAGAATTATGGCCAGAAACCATTACATATTATATGTACTTTTCTACCCATGACAATAACTCCTTTACTATAGATGGCATGAGTATCGTCCAATCATTTTGCATGCTCATATGTAATCAGCAGGTAAATAACGCACACTCATTTGAAAGATGTCCGATCCAGGTGGAACGTTTTTCCGAGACCTTTTACGGTCTAATAAATTATTCTTTTCTACATTTAATTTTGACCATGGTTTATGCAACAGCTAGTTGCAGTCTTCCAGTTCGAAAAAATACTTCATTATGCCAAAAAAATCGAAAAACCATCGTAAAAATGCTGTAATTTCATCAGCAAGTGAAAGTATGAGATTAGCATTTAAAGGTAGAGGATTGTGCTGATATTAACTGGTATCAATTGAACTAAACATTTTTATTCGTAGATTTTAGCGTATATGATTATTCACGTTCAACAAAAGATTCACCACAGAATAATCTTAGAACATCATCAAAATTGACACGTGAAAGTATGTAATTTCACAATTTTCTTTTTCTGCTATATATATTTTCTTTTTTATTATTAAAGGTAAAGATTTGATGAGTGAACAAGATTGGTATGAAAAAGATTTGTCTGATTTTGATGATCCGCAATTGTCTGACGAGGAAAACGAAGGTAAAATTATTTACTGACTTTGTATTTTTAGTTGAGCGGCACTAATTGAGATAGGCGAACGCTGACGGTCATTTTTTTATTTGTGCCAATTGTTAGTGATTTAATCATCGCACTAGTCTCTTTTTGCATAGTCATCTATTGATAACAATCTCTAGTTTAGTAGTTGAGGGCTATCACTCCTATCGTAATCATACATTAGAACGGTTTCTTTAGTCGGATAAATATAAAATACTGTTATTTACAAATAACTATAAGTTACTCTATTTCCTTTCTTTTGTTTGTGTACTTTTCATATCACACTGTTAAATATTTTTAATATTTGACAAAGTAATTCATTCTGAATCTTTTCCTTTGATAAAGAAAAAAGATGATTAATAAAATATATTAAAATCACAAAAATAGTAATAAAATTCCTATATTATATTATATTATACTGCTAATCTAAAAAGGAGACTCATATCCTCGCCGAAAATATGTCATCAGTGTACATGTCGTGAATTGCGACTCTTCCTCCTGTTGTAAATCTGTCTTATTCCATCGGATGTCAGTTATACTTGTTGAATCAAAGCAGCACTTCTCATCGACTCAAATAGAAAGTTTACTTCCTCCTTTGAAAATATTATAATTCTTGCTGTTGTATAAAATGTTAGTACGCAGCCGGACTAAAAGGGATACACAGTACGGTTGAACAAGAAAATAATCATGTTTAAGTATGAATTCGACTTATTTACTGGATGTTCTTTCTGTTTTTTTTTACAGCGAAACTAGTTGTAAGACTCAAAAGACATACAAAACAAAATGCTAGTGTATCTGGAAACGATATTCAAGATGAACGAGCATATCCGTTGGACTTCTGGTTTATTCTTTCGCTGTATATCGCCCCAGAAGATATTGGTCGTTTTTCAAGCATTTGTCGAGCATCACACTATGTTGTTGGTACACCCTGGTTTTGGTTAAAAAAATATGTACAGTACGTATGATGAAGAAAAAGTTGTTTATTAACAATCACCGTTGGTTTTATTTATTCTTTATCTTTTCGTTTTTAGGTACAATAAAAGTGAAGCAAAACAGTTGACACGTCTTCTCACCAAAGAAAAAGCTCCCATTATTCGTACACATGTTATTAAATCATTATATTCAGTTTATCCTGTATTTCAAGAACGCCTGAATAAAACCGATGTAATACAAAAAGATCCATATTTTTTGGAACATTGGCGATGTATACGAATATGGCATACAAAATCAACAAATAATAATAAAGAAGGTTGGAATTATTACTTTGAGTTTCGATTTGATTCATCGTTTCGTCCAAAATCAAAACAAACTACATCGACATTTAGTGTAACGAATAATTCTAGTAATTCATCTGCAATAGCAACAGAATATCTCGTTGATAAGGATTGTTGTGTATTACATTTATATTGTTCAAATTTTGTTCCTGTTGGTCCGTTTATGGTACGTGGAAATAATACTAACTCTGTTTATTTTTCAGATGTTTTTCTGTTGACAATGTTTGTGCTAAATACATTCATCTTCTCATTTGTTCACTGTTTTGTTGTTGTACACTCGTTACATTTCTTTTTTTGGGTTTTTAGGGTATGATTCTATCAAAAATTAATCTTAACGTTAGTAGTGATTATCGTTATCATAAAATAAAAATGTGGTTCGGTACAAGTTCTGTATGTTTGTCGACGGCGTCCAATAAGAATAGTGCACAAAATGTAACAAATTCAGTTGTTATTATTGATCCCATCTTGTTTTTGAAAATTTATCATTGGTAAGTTAACTCTGAGTTCTTTATTTATCACTTGATGTTTTTTTGTATTTTCAGGTGGAACTCACCATCCAAATTTGAATGAAAAAATCAGCGGCAAGATCAACGTTTTATTCTTTACCTGTGATGAGTTTACTGTGATGTGCCGTGTTTATCTTCTGTAGTGCTTTGTTTTTCTTCTTTTGTAATAAACGACGTTTTCTTTGTACAAACAACATTTTTATCTCTCTGTATATATTAAAGTATTATTTCTTAAGAATACAGAGTTAGTCTATGGTGTTGATGTTGTATGCGATGTAGTATGGGTAATACTTCACACTTATCGGAAGTTTGTATCGCTAAGGTTTCATGTTCATAAATACTTCGGCAATGGTTCGCTGAATGACTAATAAATATAATTGATGATCATTAAACCATAACTCTGGCTTCATCATATGTATTTAATGTATTGAACTTAAAAAGGTGATGATAGAATCAGATAGTTAAATAAAGATTTTTGTAAGAATTTTTTTGCACGATAAAGTTCGATAAAATTTTGAAAAGACATTGTTATAGTTTAACTTGTATGACGAGAGGAACAAAAATTATAAATAGCTTTATTGAAGACTATGATGGTCATAATCAAGATCTTGGATTAAAAGATGTCACAAGATCTTGCAAAAAATATCAACTTCAAGATCTTGTGCACAGAAATTTCAAGTTCTTAAGTGAGTTAGTCAAGATATTTCAAGCTCTGGAAGTACATTTCTTTAAAATCTTGAAGTCTTTTCACATATATGACAGCCGTAGCCATTAGACATACTATGATAAATGATCGCTGTCTCTTCCACGAACAACTATGACACAAAAAAGAAAACATGTATTAAGTTATTCAAAGTGTCAACATTTTTGCACTTACATGCGAACAAGAGTATGAAACAAAATGATAACTCAAATATTTAGGTTTTGGTTGTTGAACTTACATAAGAGATAAAAATAAAAAAAGTTGAGGGTGACTGTTAACCAAGGAAGTTTTTTCAAGGAAGAGAATGTGAAGGCGCAAGTCTTCTACACTATATATTTCGAAATTTCTATCTGTTGACTGAGTCATATTCGCACCCTGATGAGGTCGCTAGATTTGGTCTTCAGACTGCTTGGAATAAATCCATGTATTAAATAGATTCAATACAATAGAATAGTACAAGACAACTTGAAACTTGTGGTACATTCAAACAAAAATGTCGCAGGCTAATTGTATCGTGGGAATTGCAGTGAAAAAATTTCCCTGGCTAAAAGTCACCCTCGGCTTATTTAGTCTTTATCTCTTATGCAAGTTCAACAACCAAAACCTAAATATTTGAGTTATCATTTTGTTTCATACTCTTGTTCGCATGTAAGTGCAAAAATGTTGATACTTTGAATAACTTAATACATGTTTTCTTTTTTGTGTCATAGTTGTTCGTGGAAGAGACAGCGATCATCTATCATAGTATGTCTAATGGCTACGGCTGTCATATATGTGAAAAGACTTCAAGATTTTAAAGAAATGTACTTCCAGAGCTTGAAATATCTTGACTAACTCACTTAAGATCTTGAAGTTGATATTTTTTGCAAGATCTTGTGACATCTTTTAATCCAAGATCTTGATTGTAAAAACTAGTAATTCTTCTAACCTACTCTTCGAACCTTGATTACAAGAACTAAAACTGATTTAATTCCATGCAAGGTTAGAAGAATAGATCAATACTAGTCGTGCTCGATAGGAACTGAACGTGAAAGCTCACATTATGACGGCAACGACACTTCAACTGTTATAGTAACAATACAATATATTCTTAATGAAACTATAGCTAACTTATCAAGTTTAAAAAATCAAAAAAAAATAAATTTAAAATGACAAAAAATTTGTCTAATTAAAGCAAAAGAAGAAAAATGCACAGATTAGACCACGCACGTTCAAATGCTAAAGGTTTCAAAAACTCACGAGGGTACACTATCCATTCAGAAGGATGTAAAAACATTGCCAGTTTGTTTGAAAATTACAATTAGGAAATGCTATTGAAAAATAATGTGGGCTAAAATAGAGACAAAAAATAAGATAATAGGAGGATGGCCATATTTATATTATTATGAACCGCGTTCTAGCCAACGAATAGTATAATCTGATTCCAAGTCACAGTATCCTGGTTGAAACGGTGTGACGCTGATTTCCGAATATGACGTTCGCGATGGTGTTGGGCTCAAATAGGAATTTGTATCTGATGTATTTGCTGAAAGTTGTTCATATTGTTGCTGAAGATTATTCGATTCACCATGTAATGAATCATCGGATTCATGTTCAGATAATTCTAGAACAGAGACCAGAAAATCAATAATGTTAGAAGAAAAAGACTTTAACATAGATCCATTCATAATACGAAGCTACTTAAGAGAAAGAAGGCGGAGTGCAAATATTTTAAATTCGGAGCGTCAGTGCGAGGTTAGAGCACCCGTTATAGCATTTTCTTCGTTCCTAGACAGGATACTTACCGTCATATGGTACAGCTGTATCATCATTACTTATTTCTTCTTCATGTGTACTTTGACTTTTCAGACTGGCTTTTCTTGTCTGATTTTGCATTACACCTGGCCATCTTCGTCCAGAATCTTTTTTCAATCGTTTTTCCTTCGCACGACGATTCTGGAACCAAACCTAAACAAAAACGATCACGGAGGTAATATAACCATCCTCAACGTAAATATTTTCATATAATTTCATTATAATACATTGTTTTACAAAAACCGTGAAAAGTTGGTCATACAATATAAGCCTGATAAAAAAGTTGGACTTGTATTTTTCTTTATACCACGACCTTAACCGAAATTCACTATACTCGGTACAAAATACTATTTAAGGCATACTTGTACAACTCTCATGTCCAATCCGGTTTCGTTTGCTAATTGTTCTCGTACGTGTCTCGCTGGTTTCGGTGAGGTATTATACGCTTGTTTTAATATTTCAAGTTGTTTTTGTAATATTGTTGTTCGTGGACGCTTACTTGTGTCGTCAAATTCTACAAACAATAGTGTAAATCTTCTTGTTACTCATACTATAAGAAGAATGATAGAGAATACCTTTATTTTTTAGTGTGTCAAAATCAATTTTACAACATAACTTTTGATCATCAATTAAATAAAATTCATCGCCAGTTTTCAATTCTCGATGACAAATTAGACATGAGAAACATTGTAAATGATAAACAAACTTATTTGCCCGACGAACAACTTCTGTTGGTGGGATACCGTGGCCACAGGATGCGCATTTTGTGCCAAATTTTCTTAAAAAGAAGAAAAAAAAACCAGATAAAATTCCTGGTTATCTTGTAATGTGATGATTACCGAAAAAAATCTTCTTTGCAGTAAATATAACCGTCACGTGCAGAACATTTATCCATTAATTTGACATGGCATTCATTACATTTTAAACAACTAGCATGATAATATCGATCCAAAACTTTAAATATAAATTTATCACATATAGGTAATGTACACACAGAACATTGGAGGAATGAAACTAAAATAAAATGTAATATGATCGAAAATTAATAGAAAAAAAACACTGAAAAATTTAACAAAAAAAATTTATGTCACAGTAATTTCTGAAAGTGAAAAAATTCAAATAAAGGTTAATCTGATTTAAAAAATCTAGATAAAAATGATTTGATTTTTAGAAATTTTCTTAAAGAACGAACTGATGTATGTACTTGAGGTGATTTGACCCCTGATAACTAAACAATACCGTGATGTTCCCAAACTGGTTCGCTGTTTTTATCCAAGCCTTGTAGGGTTCGATGATTTAATTCGCTTTGTTCATTACTGTTATCATTAAATGTCATAATCCGCTCAATATTTTTTAACGCGCTTATATAGTATGTAATATTATCCCATACACGTTCTTTAAAGAGATTTTTTTTTCTTTCACGATACACTTTTTTTTTTTGTCTATTAGAATAAAATTTGTCATTAAAAGTATGTATTTTTCTATGTGGTAGAAATTCATTCGTTTAAGACATATATCTACCAATAAGAATAATGCTGATGCAGTTCACTTAAAAATAGAAAAAAAAGAGGAAAAAAAGAAGAATCTGATAATATGATGGGTGAGAAACGATTATGTGGATGGAAAAAGAGAAGGATAAAAAAGAAACGGAATTGAATAACGTAAAAAAGATCCTTCTATTCTAAAACAATTAGATTAATCGTTCATCAGTGTTTTGAAAATTATTCTGTTATTGGCAAGTATTTTACTGCTAAATTATTATGATAAAATTTAGAAGTTAAATTTCATATTTTTTTGTTTAATAGAGAGAGACTTGAATTTTTTTATTTTTTTATTGATTTCAAATAGTTATTTTGCTCAAAATTTCAATTTTTAGAAAAAAAGCGGAGAAAATATTTACTTTTTGTTACTTTAGAAATTAGAAACTAACCATTTCATGTGTACTTTTTTAGATCTTGATATCAGTAAAACGTTAGAGAAAACCAGACTTGAGCAGACAATTGAAATAAACCGTTTTTGTCGCACGCAACTCAAACGTTGACAGGAGAAATTATTATATATCGCCTTTGTCAAAAGGATTTGTTAACATTTTTTTTTGAATGATATTTTACATCAATAAAAATCTAAGTCTCTCTTTATATATATGATTCAATTAATTCGGTATACAAGAAAAATGATACACATATTGTAAATGGTCAGTGAACATTTGACATTGATCACACATTCATGTTTTGTTGTTGCATGAGATATATCTCTCTAATCTATCAAAAATCTTTAGAAGAAAAAAAAAGAAGTTTGTCAAAGGGAACAAGCGCACGATTAATATTGAAACATGTGCAATCGATGAACTTTTGTCAACACAATGAAACACGCGACACTATCGCACAAAAAGATAAAAATTTATCTGATAGACGTTTTATGATTCCATACAAACAAAAAATACAGTTGAAATTGTATTTAAGAAAAAGCGATAGTATCGAAAAAAAGTTATGAAAAATTACTTTAACTACTAGTGTACTTCGACTTTATATTTACACGAAAAAAAGTTAAATTAACTAATTTAAGTA